GAGGATGGAAGAGGGAAGGAGGGAAGGGGTGAAAAGGGGGAGAAGGTGGGAAGGGGTTATTATCATTATCATTATTGTTTTTATCATTGTTATTAATTTTATTGTATTATCATCATCATCAATGCTCATTGCTACCATCCTTATTAGTATCATTATTAATCTTTATGATATCATTACCATTAACTTTATTGCTGTTATTATTGATTATTATTATTATCATTATTATTATTATCATCATATTCATATTACTATTATCATTATCTATATGATCATGATGATTATTATTATCATAATGATTATTATCATTATCATTAACATTATTATTTATCACTAACATTATTATTGTTATTGTCATTATTCTTAGTAGTATTAGTATTATCATTATCATCCCTTCTTCCCACCCTCCTCCCTCTCTTCCTTCCTTCCCACAGTCCTTTCCTCTTACCCTCACTCCTATTTTCCTTCCCTTCTCCTTCCTCCCTCCCTCTCTACTTCCCCCCTTTCTCCCTCTGCCTTTCTCTCTCTCCCTGCCACCTTTCCTCCCTCCTTCCTTCATATCCTTCCTCATCTCTCTCCATCCTTCTTTCCCCTTCCTTCCCTCCACTCTTCTTTTCTCCTCCATCCCTCCTCCTTTTCTTTTATCTTTTCTCTCTCCATCCAATCATCTCTCTCTCTCCTTGGTCCAGCTGTTGGAGGACGAGCGGACAAGAACGTCTTTTTCACCCTTCCACCTTCCTCCCTTCCTTTCCATCTCTCTCTCTCTCCATCCAAATCATCTCTCTATCTCTCTCCCTGGTCCAGCTGTTAGAGGACGAGCGGACAAGAACGTCTTTTTCACCCCTTCCACCTTCCTCCCTTCCTTCTCCATCTCTCTCTCCATCCAAATATATCTCTTTCTCACCCTTCCCTCCATCCAAATAATGTCTCTTTCTCACCCTTCCTTCTCCATCTCTCTTCTCTTTTATTTCTCTGTCTCCCATCCAAATCATTCTCTATCTCTCCCTGGTCCAGTGTGGAGGGACGGTCGACAAGAACGTCTTCCTCATCACAGACGGAGAAGAATGAAGCACCGATGATAGCCGATGTGATGGACGAAATCATCAGCAAGAAACTTTGCGTCAGACCTTGGCTCTGGGGTAAGATTTGCTGTTTTTCTAATTTTTGTTTTATTTCGTTTACTTTTTATTATCATCGACGTTATCTTTTCTTTGCTTCCTCTTCGGTTTTTCTTTCTTTTTTATCAAGAGGAGTACGGTGGCAGGTGGATCGTGAGTTAGATCTCTCTCTATCTATCTATCTTTCTATCTCTATCTGTTTGTTCTTCTTCATCTTTTCACTTGATTTATTATTTCATTTTATTTTGTTTTGTTTGTTTTGTTTTTAGCTGTTCCTCCTTCTACATTTCCTTTTCTGTCTTTCTTCATAATCCAATTGTCTGAGAACACTTGGCGCGCATACCCTCATTTGATATACGTCTTCCCTCTTGGACTCGCATGGGTGAGTGAGTGAATGGGTAAAAGGGAATTCATGGATGATGGGGTGACTGGATCAAGGGTGAAGGGATGAATGGGTGATTGAAGCAATGGATAAAGAAGTGACTGAATCAATGGATGAAGAGATGACTGAATGGGTGATTGAAGCAATGGATAAAGAAGTGACTGAATCAATGATGAGAGAGACTGAAATGGGTGATTGAAGCAATGGATAAGAAGTGACTGAATCAATGGATGAAGAGATGACTGAATGGATGATTGAAGCAATGGGTAAAGAAGTGACTGAATCAATGGATGAAGAGATGACTGAATCAAGAAGTGAAGGGATCAATGAGTGAAGGAACCAGTGGGTGACTGAATCAATGAGTGAAGGAATCAGTGGGTGACTGAATCAAGGAGTGAAGGGATCAATGGGTCACCGAACCAATTGATAAAGAAGCGACTGAATCCATGGCTGAAGAGGGTAAAACTAATCACTAATCCGCGCCCCTCCCTCCTTCTGCAGGGGCAACGCCGCGAAGGACCTCGAGAAGCTAGGGACCTCACCAAGTGCCCCTCCTTCACCGTCAACGACAACGACGTGTCCAACGCCTCGAGAATGCTTTCGAGGGCTCTCCACCCGCCAGCAGTCGTCATTGGAGGAATCCTCTCATCAAGGTGAGTCGACTGGGTGAAGGGGTGGAGGGGGTAAAGGGTGAATGAGGGACTGGGTGAAGGGATGACCGGGTCAGTGGGTGAAAGACTGACTGGGTGAAGGGGTGGACGGGGTAAAGGGTGAATGAGGGACTGGGTGAAGGGATGACCGGGTCAGTGGGTGAAAGACTGACTGGGTGAAGGGATGGACGGGGTAAAGGGTGAATGAGGGACTGGGTGAAGGAGTGACCGGATCAGTGGGAGGAGTGACTGGGTGAAGGGGTGGAGGGGGTAAAGGTGAATGAGGGACTGGGTGAAGGGATGACCGGGTCAGTGGGTGAAAGACTGACTGGGTGAAGGGGTGGAGGGGTAAAGGGTGAATGAGGGACTGGGTGAAGGAGTGACCGGATCAGTGGGAGGAGTGACTGGGTGAAGGGGTGGAGGGTAAAGGGTGAATGAGGGACTGGGTGAAGGGATGACCGGGTCAGTGGGTGAAAGACTGACTGGGTGAAGGGGTGGAGGGGTAAAGGGTGAATGAGGACTGGTGAAGGATGACCGGATCAGTGGGTGAAAGACTGACTGGGTGAAGGGTGGACGGGGGTAAAGGTGAATGAGGGACTGGGTGAAGGAGTGACCGGATCAGTGGGGAGGAGTGACTGGGTGAAGGGGTGGAGGGGTAAAAGGGTGAATGAGGGACTGGGTGAAGGGATGACCGGATCAGTGGGTGAAAGACTGACTGGGTGAAGGGGTGGAGGGGTAAAGGGTGAATGAGGGACTGGGTGAAGGGATGACCGGATCAGTGGGTGAAAGACTGACTGGGTGAAGGGGTGGACGGGGTAAAGGGTGAATGAGGGACTGGGTGAAGGAGTGACCGGATCAGTGGGAGAGTGACTGGGTGAAGGGGTGGAGGGGTAAAGGGTGAATGAGGGACTGGGTGAAGGGATGACCGGTCAGTGGGTGAAAAGACTGACTGGGTGAAGGGGTGGAGGGGGTAAAGGGTGAATGAGGGACTGGGTGAAGGGATGACCGGGTCAGTGGGTGAAAGACTGACTGGGTGAAGGGGTGGAGGGGTAAAGGGTGAATGAGGGACTGGGTGAAGGGATGACCGGGTCAGTGGGTGAAAGACTGACTGGGTGAAGGGGTGGAGGGGTAAAGGGTGAATGAGGGACTGGGTGAAGGGATGACCGGATCAGTGGGTGAAAGACTGACTGGGTGAAGGGGTGGACGGGGGTAAAGGGTGAATGAGGGACTGGGTGAAGGATGACCGGATCAGTGGGTGAAAGACTGACTGGGTGAAGGGGTGGACGGGGTAAAGGGTGAATGAGGGACTGGGTGAAGGAGTGACCGATCAGTGGGAGGAGTGACTGGGTGAAGGGGTGAGGGGGTAAAGGGTGAATGAGGGACTTGGGAAGGGATGACCGGGTCAGTGGGTGAAAGACTGACTGGGTGAAGGGGTGGACGGGGTAAAGGGTGAATGAGGGACTGGTGAAGGGATGACGGGTCAGTGGGTGAAAGACTGACTGGGTGAGGGGAGGGGTAAAGGGTGTGAGGACTGGGTGAGGGATGACCGGTCAGTGGGTGAAAGACTGACTGGGTGAAGGGGTGGAGGGGTAAAGGTGAATGAGGACTGGGTGAAGGGTGACCGGTCAGTGGTGAAAGACTGACTGGGTGAAGGGGTGGAGGGGTAAAGGGTGAATGAGGGACTGGGTGAAGGGATGACCGGATCAGTGGGTGAAAGACTGACTGGGTGAAGGGGTGGAGGGGGTAAAGGTGAATGAGGGACTGGGTGAAGGGATGACCGGATCAGTGGGTGAAAGACTGACTGGGTGAAGGGTGGACGGGGGTAAAGGTGAATGAGGACTGGGTGAAGGAGTGACGGATCAGTGGGAGAGTGACTGGGTGAAGGGGTGGAGGGGGTAAAGGGTGAATGAGGGGACTGGGTGAAGGGATACGGGTCGTGGGTGAGAAGACTGACTGGTGAAGGGGTGGACGGGGTAAAGGGTGAATGAGGGACTGGGTGAAGGGGTGACCGGATCAGTGGGTGAAGGAGTGACTGAGGGAAGGAGTGGAGGGGTGACTGCGTGAAGGGGTGGAGGGGGTAGAGGGTGAATGAGGGACTGGGTGAAGGGGTGAAAGGATGAATGAGAGACTGGTTGAAGGAATAAATGTGTGACTGAGTGAGAGGATGTCTAGATGTCTGTATGGGTGACTGGGTATATGGGCAAATGAGTGAATGAATGGAGGATTGACAGACCTATTAGTCATGTAATTTGTTGCACGTGTGTTTGTGTTTGTTATGCGTGTGCGTTTTTTTTTTTTTTTTTTTTTTTGTATACGTTTATGTGTGCGTGTGTTTAAGTGTATCCGTTTATGTGTGCGTGTATTTCTGTGTATGCGTTTGTGTGTGTGTTTATGTTTATGCATGTTTGTGTGTGTTTATGTATATGCAGCTGTGCTTGTGTATTTATGTGTATGCGTTTGTGTGCATATATGTGTAAGCGTTTGTGTGTTTATGTATATGCTTTTGTGTGTGTTTCTGTGTATGCATTTGCGTATGTGTTTGTAGATGTGTATGTGTTTGTGTGTGCGTGCTTTAGTGTATATGTATTTTTGTGTATGTTTGTTTATGCGTGCGCGTGTGTTTGTTTAAGTGTATGCGTTTGTGTGTGTGCGTGTGTTTGTCTGCGTGCATTTATTTGTGTTTATGGTTATGTATGTGTTTGCATTCGTATGTGTGTTTGTATGTATGTAAGGATTTGCATAATTGTGTGTATTTGCATAAATGTGAATATGCTTGGACGTGCGCGCCGTCTTTTGTTTCTCCTCCTCCTTCTGCAAAGCCTCCTTCCTCACCGTCGCCCGCTCCTTCCCCAGATCGAGGAGACACCGAAGATCCAAACACCTACCCCGGAATACGAAGGCTCATTCTTTGTGGACAGCACCGTCGGCATGAACCTGACTTTCCGCTTGAAGACAGACGCGAAGAGCCACGTTTTAAGCGGACCCTCCCTTATCAAGCCCGACGGCACGACTCTGAAGGGCGCCGCTGATTTCGACGACATCGGAAACGTGTGGACAATCGTCGTGCCCGAGGCGGAGGTAAGGGAATGCTCCAGGGATTTCAGGCTCGCATTTCAGAGCATGGATGAAGGAGAATGTAGTCCGACAGTGAAAGAAAAAAGGCGTATATAGTTGACGTTTCGGCAGTCCATCTTTCATCTTCAGTATCCGTTCATCTGCAGTGTTGGAGAATTGCTACTGAATTGACTATTATGCATTTTACACTTAGAGTTTAATAATTTTATTCGTTTGCGTTCATACAGTCTTTACTGAGGTGGGGTTCTTTATTCATTTCATATCTGATTTTGCAATGGACAGAAAATATTTATGTATTTCAAAGCTTATCCATATATTTGAATTGTTTCTGGGGCGGGGGGGATTAGTTATAGATTTTATAGTTTGAAAAGTCGCATAAAGGTGATCGATTCTCCAAATGTTTCTCCTCATCCCCATCTCATTTCCACCTTGCTAATTTTTTTCTTTCTTTTTAGTTTTACCTCTATTGTTTTTGTTGTTTTTTTGTCCATTTTTTTCTGACAATTCCAATTCTCTTTCAGGAAGGAGCTTGGCATTGGAAAGTCACACTCAGCCAAGATTCGTCCAAATATATACAAGCGACAGTTCTAGCTCTACCACGTGATCCAAACGACGCACCAATCGTTACCACAGTTAAGGTAAGAGACCTCCTTTGATTATACATATATATATGGCCTACATATGCATGTATATATGTATACATTTTTATATCCATGCATATATTAATTAATTCATTCAATTATTGACTCATTCAATTTTTCCTACCATTCCTCCCCTCATACCCCCCCCCCTTTCCTGAACTTCACCCTCCCCCCCCTCCAGTTCCTTGCCCCCGCGACTGGCGTGAGTCCCAAAGATCAGAACATCAAGATCATGGCCACAGTGATGAAGGGGAACAGTCCGATCCGCGGAGCAGATGTGGTGTAAGTTGTGGGGATGAGAGTGAGGGTTTTTGTTGTGATGTGTTGTGATGATGGTGGCGGTGATAAGGGTGTGATGTGATGATGGTGATAGTGAGGGTGTGATGTGATGATGGTGATAATGAGGTGTGATGTGATGATGGTGATGATAAAGGTGTGATGTGAGTATGTGATGATGGTTTTGGTGATGATGTGATAGGGTTTGATGTGATGTGTTGTGATGATTGTGTGATATGATGATTGTGGTGAGGGTGTGATGTGATAATAATGTTGAGGGTAGGAAATGATGGTTATAGTGAGGGTATGATGTGATGTGTTGT